TAATGACATTAAAACACAATTGCAACGAATATGTGATCAATAAACTTGAGATTAATATAACCAGATCTGAGAATATATTATTCACTCATTAATTCTGAACAATTTATGAACAATTACTGTACTCTTTATTACCTCAATGTAATGCAAACATTTAATAAAATTGTTTTCATTAGTTTGTTAATTATTACCAAAGTACATTTTATTTTTTTCTCAACTACATGTTAATGAAATGACATTTTAAACGCTAAATGTCAAAACCACTCATTGTCTGACATATTTTGAAAGTTATCTGTAAATTGAGTCGCTTTTAGATTAGTTTAAAAATGATATGAGAGTAGTAAAATTGTAAGTGCAGTAAAATTAATGGAAAATAACAGTACATTTGTTAATAACGTAGTGTATATTAAATTTTAAAGTAAACATTTTATTAAAATATTGTAACTTATAATAATAATTAAAAATTAAAAATCATATCATTTTAAAGCTTTGTTTTCAAACAGTAAATTAAAAAAGAAATGATTTCAATTGAATTTGTTATCAATAAATAATGATTGATAAACGAGAGGTAGTCCTCAAACCCTTTTTGCCATCAATGCAAACCCCATTATAAAAATGTATGTGTTTGTGAAACTCGCGACACAACACTGTTCTCGTAATGCTATTCAATGGGAAACTCTCGCAAACCCCTAATCAGGACTACCTCTCTTTTATCAATCATTATTTATTGATAACAAATTCAATTGAAATCATTTCTTTTTTAATTTACTGTCTGAAAACAAAGCTTTAAAATGATATGAATTTTAATTTTTAACTATTATTATAAGTTACAATATTTTAATGAAATGTTTACTTTAAAATTTAATATACACTACGTTAATAATTGCACTCCTATAACATTTTATTTTAAAAATTCTCATTTATTCAAGTACAAATTAGTACATTCTGTGTGTGTACTTGGAGTTACTTGAAATAGCAGACTTCCCTCTATGAATGCTTAAATACAATCCATTTCCTATAGCTTAATGACAAGCGAGTTACAGAATCTCTTATTACTGTATTATTATATTATTATTACTAATACACCAAAAACTAAATGTGTTGAAAACTAAAAAATTATAGTTTATAATGCCCAGTTTTCAAGTACTGTACTGTATTATAACCATTAATGTGATTCCAATAATTTAATAATTCATAAAAATTCTAATGTTTTTAAATAAAATACATGAATATTCTGTATATGTAATAAATTATAACTTATAATCATATGGAATCCATATAATAGATATTAAAATGCAGTAATGATTAGTTTAAATGAAATAGCACTTTTTGAACTTAAATATAATTTAATTAAGCTGTTAATTATAACCTTTGTCTCAAAACTTTGTTAATTCTTATGTCAAAATTCGATGGACAGCCGAGACATGAATGAATTGGAGAATAATTTCAATAGATATATATATAATCCTATAATATATATAATACTGAATACCATAAAAGAATTTGAAAGAGAGTGACAATTAGTATGCAATGCAAGGCATCGTTAAGATATTCGCAATACTACTGTAGTATAATTGTGAGCAAAGCTTTTTGTTGTTAATACATACTGTATGTTAGTCATTACTGTAAGAATCGGATCCGAAAACCACAGAACAGAACCAAACGGACAGACAATATGTTTGTTTAGAGAGTCTATCGATTTTGTCGTCTAATCATACGACAGAATCTATTGACTCAAGAATCAGAATATTCTGATTACTACTCAAATGCAACCGAATAACAATCAAAGCAAACACTAAACACACGAATCGAATGATAATTAAGTGAAGATATGATTAATTTTATGGAAAATATTGTCTTTATTTAAATAAACTTTCTTTAGTTTTCTTGTATTAAATATACAATACGTTAGGAATTGATTTAAATTAAGCGATGAATTCATTAAACAAATAGAAATAGATTAATGTATTAACAAATGAATTATAGAATTTGTGTAAACAATTGGTTAAGAATTTTTACAAAAAATGTGTTCATAATACTAAATGTCATAGAGTTGTCCCAAAACTACCTCAACCATAGGGAAGGTATCCATTGGGGCTCTCTCTCCAATGCATTGATCTCTCGAAGCAACTCCTGATAAGCTCTCTCTATATCAGTGATCGACAAAATCATGTCAAAGTAGTGGCCATATCGGGCCTCTATATCGCGCGCCTCATCTATAATGGACTGGAGGTCTGTGGCGGTCGAGCTATTGGTGTCGTAATGCTGTTGAGGATTACTGGCCGTCATTGTCATCAGTCGATTGAGTTTCTCGATCTGTGGCGGAGGCGTCACGAACACGAAGTATGGCTTCAGTTTAGCCCCTAATCACACATTCAATACATTAGTCTTAACGCTGTTGTGTGTTCAGCAAACAGTGGTGTCTTACCCGCCTGTCCCTGTCTGAGCAATGGTATGGAATGGACGTGAAGGTTAAGAACACATATCTTCCCGGACTGGACCACCGTTTCGATGGCTGACAGAGAGGTGCCATAATAGTTGCGTTCGTACTCTCCGTGCTCTACAAAGCGGCCTAAAAGTCGACAATTTATGTAAAAAATATTCAATAAGTGATCGTTATTTCTTCGGCAAAGTGTTGTGTGTTTACAGTCTTTGATGTCTTGTTCAAACTGTTGTCGACTAATGAAGTGGTAATCTATTCCATCGATCTCTCCCTCCCTCCTAGACCTGGATGTGTGGGGAACGGCTGCCGCAAACCTATCGGTGTCGTGCATTAGACGCTGCCTGAGCTCGTGTCGACCTATATTCGTGGGTCCAATCAATACAATCGGACGCTATGTTTGGGAATAGACGAGAGCTATGTTTAAAACAATATTCCGAGAGCTTCTTGAATTAAAATTACTAAATCAATACATTGTTTTCAAAAACAATTCACACGTTTTGGAGCCAATAAATTGCAAATCTGTTCACACATTTTCTGTACTTTTATACTGTATTTGCATTTAAACTAAATCTTCTAAAAGTAGGAAATCATAAGTTAGTCTAACATTCAATCCAATTCGCATACACTTAACATAAATGCAATGCATTCGCAATGGGTTTGCATTAATTATTTGTAAATAAATGTCTGTTAAATATGTATGGATTTTGTATTTAATTAAAAAGATCTAAAAATTCTGTTTATGATTGAATGTAAGCTCTTATAAGTAAACCAAATTCAATGCTATATTTTCAGAGTCTGAAATGTTAATATTAAATAATTTTGTTGCTTTTTTGTTATTATGAAAAATAATTTTACAAAAAAACTTAAGCAATTATTCAAAAAATGTATTTTCAATGAGCACAGTACCAGTATGTATAAAAACATTAGCCGCAAGCAAATTAATTAGCTTAGAGTTGAAGTTCACAAACTTCTCATAGATTTTTTTAAACACAAAAATATCTCAAAATTATGAAAGCATTAAATCCCAAATATACTCACAATTAGAAAATATTTCTCCCGACTCTTACTACAGAGTCTTATATAAGTCTTTACAGTATATTAAGCAATAAAATCAATATTTTATTACAGGAACTCTCGAGTTAAAGATAATTTCACTCTTATTATTGATATACAGGTAGAGAGGGCTTGGAGTTTGGGTGCACTGCGCCCGCGGGGTCTTAGATTGAGTGACAAAATGTAATTCTCGGAGAAATCAATTTTATTATTATATTTCTCGCAAAGAGTAGGAAACGTATTATAAATAAATATTATTATTATTTAGACGACTATTTTCTTTGACAGTCATAACGAAAATGTAGTGAAAAACGTGTAAATAATTTATTTTAATTGAAATAATTGAGTCAAATAATTGAATTCATTTGATTAAATCAAATGTCTCACTGAATTCAATGAATAGATAAATATTCTGTAGATTAAGCCCTCATTGGCTTCGTTAGCGACTCATCATTTCAGAGGAAATATAGATTTTCTCGCAAAACTAATTCCGATTTCAATGCGAGATATGAAACATGTTTTGCGATGAAAACAATGCGAAGAGTTAGAAGTTTTTGAAATATTAATTTTTCGGATCAAATCATTGCACACATAAAACTTACTCCAAATATGAAAAGCAAACAAAAATGCAATTTTTCGAAAATATTTCTTTAAATTGCTTTTTTAAAAACAATCCATGAAATAGAAGTAATTTTTTATTTAACATTTTTCCGATCAAAACCCAAGTTTTTGTACAATTAATGTACAGTATATAGTCAATGAACTTTGAAACCATTGCTATCCTACAACTAATTGATGAATCACTCATTGGATTCCCATTCCATATGTTTTACACATATTTATTGCAGACTATAGTAAAAATTCTGTATAACTTATAAAGTTTCAATTAAATAAACAAATCGATTCAATAATCATTTCTCTAATGCTTTAAACCAGGAATAACTCTATGAATTCATTTCTCAAAATCTAATATAATTTCATTTGACACAAACGTCTGCCTATAAAGAGATAAACGCATGTCTTTATGGGTTTCCTTATATTAAAGTAGACATTGATTTACAAGAGTTGAGAATTGAATAAAAATATTTATGACTACAAGTATTTGTCAAAATCATTGAATATAATTGCTATAAAATGCGAGTAAAACGCATTTGCTTTGAAATTTAAAGGTTGAATATCAGAGTTTTATAGTCAATAATAGGGATAATTAATGAGTTAAGAGACTCACCTTAATGTTAGCCCTGGGATAGTAAAGCGAGACCTCTTCATAGCTGAGTATTTCATCAGTGGTTGACATCAAACCTGTATTGCAAGTAATGAAGACTTTACTTAAAGGCCAAAAATCATTATTTGTCTGTTTATTAGTAACTACTTTGAGATTTCCGACTCTTTTTCTTGCGATGCGTCGACTTTTTGCCGCAATTCAGCAGAAGAGCCGACGCACTGGTCTTCTTGTTGTGTCTGTTCTTACTATTAATTGTAGATATGTTTGTGCTATCATTCAATATCGACTGTTTCATTGTCTCTCTCCTGGCATTCAATCAAAACAAAACAATTAATCAAATATTGAGACAAATGGAGTGATGGACTCAACTGTATCTGGAAGTGAATGGAGGGAATGAGTCCTGCGAGGGACTGGTCGTGTTCGCCCTCTCTGTACGCCTGCCACCAATTCATGTCATTCTGATCGATGACATGTAAAATATCACCTTTTGATGGCAACACAAATAAATCATTGATTAAACAATTATTGATTGGCGGTCGGAGTGAGCGCTCCAAATGCAAGAGTTGCGGTCACTTCTGAGCAAATAAATCAAAGCAATTATAGGAAAAAAAGCATACCTTTCGAGAAACATATCCCCAGTTCTCTGCACGGAATGTATAGGTCTTCGTCGGGATCGTAATCGAAGAGCGCTTTTAAATGAATCATTTGTTGTGTGTTTGGCTCACAGTCTTTCACGTTATCCCGAATCGCAATCACAAACGTTAGGGTTCCTGAAGGCGCAGGAAATCAACCGAAAATTGTTGATAAAAAGCAGTCGACAATAAAAGTAAAGGAGAAATAAAATAATTTATTGGATTAAGTCTTCAAGTTTTGATTAATACTATGAGTCGAGAAAGAAATTATGCCAAAAAGCGGGAGAGAGAGAGAGAGAGAGAGCAAAGTAAAAATGTTTTGAGTGCTAACCAGTCATTTCCGCGAGAAGATCGCAGACTTGGTTAACATTTCTGCCTTTCATTTCAATTCCATTCACTTCTAAAATCTCGTCGTTTTCATGTAATAAACCTTTAAAACGAGAAATATTTTAATCAAATTACAGCACGAATTCTCACATATGTCTCGCATCACGGAATCAATAATAATCATATTTATTGTATAACTGAATCCATACCCGACTTCTCGGCGGCGCCGCCTTTGACGATGCGGCCAATGATGACACTGCCGTCCTGTTCGTTACGGACGGTCGCCCCCAACGGCTCACACGAAGACTTCTCGATGCGAACCACTTTAACGCTCGAGTCATCGATTACTTCATCCAATATCTCGACATCGCTTTTGTCGACTTTCAAAGAATATAGTTTTGTTTCGTTTAAATAATTGAATCAAGAATTTTGAAAATAGTTTATGCATTGCTATATAAATCATAGCCTCAAATGTTTGTGTATAATGTGTGCTCCAAATCCCTAAACTTTTATAATTATAATTCAAATGAATGAATTCCGTATAAATTATTCATACAAAACAGTGATTTAAAAATCTATTTCGATATGTCTCTGGCGTTCATGATATGCAAACATTACACATATCCACTAATTTGATGGATTCGGTGCCAGAAATAAGTGTCAAAAAACATAAATATTTTATCAAAAAATATGAGCGAATCGTTAAATATTTTATACCATTAAATGAATGCAGAAAAAACTCTTTGATAAATTGATGAGAATATGAAAATGAATGCAAAGTATACTAAATATATTCTTGGGATTCAAAGAGAGAGTAAAACACATATTTCACGCAAAATAATAGAAAACTATTTCAATAAGAGATATAATGTATAGCAATGTAAGTAAAGACATGAAAGACTGGAATCTATAGCTGAATCCATTGATGCGAAAGTGTTTTCAACACAACTTGTAATTCAACTACAAATTAATTACTCGTCCACTCGTTTCGAGTGACAAATGAAAAATAGTATTAAAATACATGAGCATAGAGTAGAGTATAGAGTATTATATAATGAAAAGTTAATCGAAACCTAAAAGTGTTAATAACTTAATCGCAAGTCTTGTGCCGCACAATAGCTTTTAAGGGGCGTCTCGACGCGATTCGCATTATTGATCATTCAGTCAAATGCATACAAAATACTTTCAATGAACGGCTCGCAAACAATACCAGAATTTCAATTATGGTAATGCTTTAAAATAATATATGATTACACATTCTTAAGTCATTATCATTTTCTATAAAAATTCTCAAAAACTGTCTCAAAACAAGCCATTATTTTGGGAATGAATTATTTTCCATAAATTTGTGACAAAACAATAGGCAATGGATTGGCTGTGACTATGAATACGATGAATAAACGAGAATTAACGGAATAAGGAGATCACTCACCGGTGATGTCTTGATTGGGTGAGAGGTGTGTAATGCCGGCGTTGGATGACTGGGCGATGTGGTCGTATGCATAGCAAAGGCCCTCCAATTCAAAACGGGTTAATATCTCTAAGAGTTCCGCCGCTTCGCTATTCAAAGCCTTTTTCACATAAGAATTACATATCATTTGATTAATATCAGTCGCAACACATTTAGGCCTAAAAGGGGGCGGGAGTGGGGAATGGGAGGACAGTAGGCACTCACTTCTTCCTGCAATAATAGGATCACTTCTTGGACGAGGTCTGCGGTATTGGAAGCGTTTGGAATGACGGCTGGCGGTAATGAGCAGTGCTTTTGTTTTTGTTGCGTTTGCATAATAGTTGTATAGATTGCTATAAGTTTTGCTAAATTGGATTGATTTATAATATCCTTCACTTCTCCGTTCAAATTGTTTATAAGGCGTTCCAACACTGCATTCAAGTC